GATGAACAGTGAGATGAGGACCGGCTTCATGGCCGGCTCTGTCTGCTGATGATCGCAAAAGAAAACGAGCCATTAGTCCATCTCACGGCCGCACTCCAACGGTTCACACTCCCTCACTTTCACATCACTCCGCTTCAACATCTTTCCATTCGTGACATCGGCGATGAGTTTCATCTTTTTGCATTCGGTTTTCCCATCTGCTATAATATAAACGCACGCTTAATTTCTACACGCCAGAGGTCGATACCCGGCTACCCGTACCCGGCCGGGATTTCATTTATACCTGATGATGATTCCTTGTGTTGCAATCGAAACGTCGTATGCTTGTATTTAATGTATTATTTTATCTTTACACGTGACTTTACCGAAAGAACCACCAAAGAGTAATTCCTGCAGTCACGAAAGCTCCAAATTAAGTTTGAATGTTTGCGTGTCGTTAAACCGACCATCAGCCGACACAGCCAGTTGGCAAGGTTTATCACGCGAACACACCGTGCCAATCTGTCACTGGAGCAGCACTAACCGGTTGTGTGTTGGAGTGTCTGTGTGTGTGTGTGTACACACTGTGTGTGTACACACGTACACACACACAGTGTGTGTGTGTACACTGTGTGTGTGTGTGTACACTGTGTGTGTGTCTGTGTGTGTACACTGTGTGTGTGTACACACTGTGTGTCTGTGTGTGTGTCTGTGTGTGTGTGTACACTGTGTGTCTGTGTGTACACTGTGTGTCTGTGTGTGTGTGTATACTGTGTGTGTACACTGTGTGTGTGTACACTGTGTGTGTGTATACACTGTGTGTCTGTGTGTGTCTGTGTGTGTGTGTACACTGTGTGTACACTGTGTGTCTGTGTGTGTGTGTACACTGTGTGTGTGTACACTGTGTGTGTGTCTGTGTGTGTGTGTACACTGTGTGTGTGTATACACTGTGTGTCTGTGTGTACACTGTGTGTCTGTGTGTGTGTGTATACTGTGTGTGTACACTGTGTGTGTGTACACTGTGTGTGTGTATACACTGTGTGTCTGTGTGTGTCTGTGTGTGTGTGTACACTGTGTGTACACTGTGTGTCTGTGTGTGTGTGTACACTGTGTGTGTGTACACTGTGTGTGTGTCTGTGTGTGTGTGTACACTGTGTGTTGAGTGTGTACACGTGTGTGTTGAGTGTGTGTACACTGTGTGAGTGTGTACACTGTGTCTGTGTGTACACTGTGTGTCTCTGTGTGTACACTGTGTGTGTCTGTGTGTGTGTACAATGTGTGTGTGTACACTGTGTGTGTACACTGTGTGTGTGTACACTGTGTGTGTCTGTGTGTGTGTATACACTGTGTGTCTGTGTGTGTCTGTGTGTGTGTGTACACTGTGTGTGTGTGTACACTGTGTGTCTGTGTGTACACTGTGTGTCCGTGTGTGTACACTGTGTGTGTGTCTGTGTGTGTACACTGTGTGTGTGTATACACTGTGTGTCTGTGTGTGTGTCTGTGTGTGTGTATACACTGTGTGTGTGTGTGTACACTGTGTGTGTACACTGTGTGTGTGTGTACACTGTGTGTGTCTGTGTGTGTACACTGTGTGTGTGTACACTGTGTGTGTGTATACACTGTGTGTCTGTGTGTGTGTCTGTGTGTGTGTATACACTGTGTGTGTGTGTGTACACTGTGTGTGTACACTGTGTGTGTGTATACTGTGTGTGTACACTGTGTGTGTACACTGTGTGTGTACAATATGTGTGTACACTGTGTGTGTGTGTACACTGTGTGTGTGTGTACACTGTGTGTGTGTGTACACTGTGTGTGTCTGTGTCTGTGTGTGTGTACACTGTGTGTGTGTATACACTGTGTGTCTGTGTGTGTCTGTGTGTGTGTGTACACTGTGTGTCTGTGTGTACACTGTGTGTCTGTGTGTGTGTATACTGTGTGTGTACACTGTGTGTGTCTGTGTGTGTGTACACTGTGTGTGTATACACTGTGTGTCTGTGTGTGTCTGTGTGTGTGTGTACACTGTGTGTGTGTACACTGTGTGTCTGTGTGTACACTGTGTGTCTGTGTGTGTACACTGTGTGTGTGTACACTGTGTGTGTGTATACACTGTGTGTCTGTGTGTGTGTCTGTGTGTGTGTATACACTGTGTGTGTGTGTGTACACTGTGTGTGTACACTGTGTGTGTGTGTATACTGTGTGTGTACACTGTGTGTGTCTGTGTGTGTGTACACTGTGTGTGTATACACTGTGTGTCTGTGTGTGTCTGTGTGTGTGTGTACACTGTGTGTGTGTACACTGTGTGTCTGTGTGTACACTGTGTGTCTGTGTGTGTACACTGTGTGTGTGTACACTGTGTGTGTGTATACACTGTGTGTCTGTGTGTGTGTCTGTGTGTGTGTATACACTGTGTGTGTGTGTGTACACTGTGTGTGTATACTGTGTGTGTACACTGTGTGTGTACACTGTGTGTGTACAATATGTGTGTACACTGTGTGTGTGTACACTGTGTGTGTGTGTACACTGTGTGTGTGTGTGTACACTGTGTGTGTGTGTGTTCACCACGCCCGGCGGACCCGTTATTCGATCCCGACTCCTGCCGGGGGAGGCGCTCCGGGCGCGGCGGGTCCGCTAGGAAAACTCGGGATGGCCCGAGGCTGACTAGGCCGCAGTCTTCCCTCCCCTCTGTTCTAGATGGTGACGATGTTGCTGATGCTGTTGTTGTTGATGCTGTTGTTGTTGTTGTTGCTGATGATGTTGTTGTTGATGTTGTTGTTGATGCTGTTGTTGATGCTGCTGATGATGTTGTTGATGTTGCTGATGATGTTGTTGTTGATGCTGCTGATGTTGTTGTTGATGCTGATGATGTTGCTGATGTTGTTGTTGTTGATGCTGATGATGTTGTTGATGTTGTTGATGCTGATGATGTTGTTGATGCTGATGTTGATGATGTTGTTGTTGATGCTGATGATGTTGTTGTTGATGCTGATGATGTTGTTGTTGATGCTGATGATGTTGTTGTTTATGTTGCTGATGATGTTGATGATATTGCTGCTGATGCTAGGGGTGGTGATGATGTTGATGTTGTTGTATATGATGGTGTAAATGATGTTTATTGATAATGTTGATGATCGCCACATAAACATAATTTATTAATTTATTCAGTTAGGGTAGCCTCTCATTGTGGGAGGGGAGGGTCTTGTACCCCAGAAGTGACGTCATGTCATCTGCTGCCGCGTGACGTCACGAGGTAGCAGGCAGCTAGAGGTCCGCGCGTGAACTGAAATCCGAGGTGAGAAATTTTCATTGCGGTTGTGGTGGTTGTTGTGGTTGTTGTGGTTGTTGTTGTTTACCAAGGTAGAGCCTCGCTCTCTCTCTCGTAGGGATGTCAATAGAGCAGCAGCAGCAGCTTGTGAATCGATGTCCAAGTTGGAACTTTACAACGCGGGGCCTAGACACGCGGGGCCTTGCCTCCTGCCCTCGCCTGGTCGCGTTTGCTTTAATTCCCTCCCTTAAGTTTAATTTGTCTTCACCCGGCTCGCTACTTTGTCACTTTGGTTTATTGTAGATATTAACGCAGTTTTTTTTCGTTTTTTTACCAGCCCAAGCCCGCCTGAGCTGCTGTACCGCTCTTGTTTACAGAAGCCACCTGCCCACAACAACAACAAGGTGGGTGGGTGGGGTTTTGTCAACGCGTGTGTCAATGTTTTGACTTAAAACTTTAGTAACTGCAGAAATTCGTATTCTTGGTTCTTTCTGTAAAGTCACGGAGATAGAAAATGAAATAACAGATAAAAATGTTAAATTAAATAAACAAATGCAAATAAAGCAAAAAAACCCACGACGTTTTGACCGCAACACAAGTGGTCTTTGTTTATTTCCATTATCTGTTATTTGTATTTGCTATCTACGTGACTTTAGAACCAAGACTACGTGTGTCAATGTCTGTCAAACACGCTGAGCGCGTGCTCATGTTGACTCTAAATGTGGAGGGGACAACCCCTGCTGCTGTTTACCATGGCAGTGTGTGTGCCAGAGTCAAGTCTGTTCACTCTGTTGAACACGCACGTTATATCAAAACAATATTACATCTTCTGGGTTCTTTCGGTAAAGTCACGTAGAAGGGAAATAATAAAATAATAAAACATAATAAAATAATTCTCACGACGTTTCGGCCACAACGCAAGCAGCCGTCCTCAGGTGAAAACCAGGTCTGACAGACCTGGTTTTCTGATAGACCTGTTTTCACCTGAGGACGGCTGCTTGCGTTGTGGCCGAAACGTCGTGAGAATTATTTTATTATGTTTTATTTTATATTATTTTATTATTTCCCTTCTACGTGACTTTACCGACAGAACCAAGAAAATCTATTAACTCTATTGAACACGGAGGTTATATCACAACAATAGTTTGTTTTTGGTTTCCTCTGGAACTCTTTATAAGAATGGAAAAAGTCAAGAAGTTGACACAGCACACACGTGCAGCAGCTGAAGTCAGATCTGCTCATCTCAGCAATCAGGACATCGTGAGCCTGGCTGGCTTCACACCTCTAAGTTGCGATTTAACATTAATTTATGCATTTCTGCATAACACAAATAGTATTATTTTCAACACCCTTTGCTATGTCAGCTGAATTTAGCTTTCATAAATATTCCTTTTGTAGCTTGACAGCCGAAATTGTGTTCTCGGAGTTTTGGGTTAACATTCATTTTGAAGATACAAGAGCTTCCAGGCATGTTTGTGACCATTCGCCCTCTCATTGTGTGCCATAACAGCCCGTGTGATGAATTTGGTAAACTTTTTCACTATATCATGAATATCTATGAATAAGTATAGACGTGTAAGTCACGTGTGACTGTGTATATATGCATTCCGCTGTGCCTCGATACTGACGTGTAGATGGTGTGGATATTCTTTTTTTCTGTCTGCAGCTGTTGCTTCCTCTGCAGAATTGGTCTGATGGAGCAAAGGCACTCGGCACAGCTCGGTGCAAAAAGGCATCGATGCGACCGGTGTGCATACAGCACGGATCATACTGCAAACTTGACACGGCACCAGAGAACTCACACAGGAGAGAAACCCTTCAAGTGCAGCGTGTGTGGGAAGGCGTTTGCACAGTTATCTACTCTTGTAACACACCAGAGAACACACACGGGAGAAAAACCCTTCAAGTGCGGTGTGTGTGGGAAGGCGTTTGCACATTCATCTGCTCTTGTAGAACACCAGAGAACACACACGGGAGAAAACCCCTTCAAGTGCGGTGTGTGTGGGAAGGCGTTTGCACATTCATCTGCTCTTGTAGAACACCAGAGAACACACACGGGAGAGAAACCCTTCAAGTGCAGTGTGTGTGGGAAGGCGTTTGCACATTCATCTGCTCTTGTAGAACACCAGAGAACACACACGGGAGAGAAACCCTTCAAGTGCAGTGTGTGTGGGAAGGCGTTTTCAAAGTCATGTAATCTTGTAACACACCAGAGAACACACACGGGAGAGAGACCCTTCAAGTGCAGTGTGTGTGGGAAGGCGTTTGCACATTCATCTGATCTTGTAACACACCAGAGAACACACACGGGAGAGAAACCCTTCAAGTGCAGTGTGTGTGGGAAGGCGTTTGCACATTCATCTGATCTTGTAACACACCAGAGAACACACACGGGAGAGAAACCCTTCAAGTGCACTCCGTGCGGGAAGGCGTTTGCACAGTCAGCACATCTTCATGTACACCAGAGAAGACACAAGCATCAGAAGATCCACAAGGAGTGGAGTCTGAAATCAGCTTGTGAAAGTCAAAGTGCTGCAATGAGCCCATCCCTCATCAAACAAGAACCAGAAGAAAATTCCAGCTTGGACACTTTTAAAGGTAATGAGGTGAAATATGAAGAGGTGAAATATGAAGAGGTGAAGTTGGAATGTGAAGAGGTGATGGTGAAATGTGAAGATGAAGATTCAACTCCAAAATGGGACCTTCACATCGATGGAGGCAACGTGAAGCAGGAGGAGAATTCTGACTGTGAGGCAGAGCGAGGCAACTCCCAGCAGTTTGTGGAAGTGGAGGTGTGGGTGGACTTCCTCCGAGACAACACAAAGTCAAATGGAGACCCGGTAGATGTGTAAGCTTGAGACGATGTCGCTCCAATAGATGCACCCTTGTCACAGGCCTTTAATGACAAGAATGTGAAGTTGAACACTCAGTTCCTGGGTTCAACCTGCAGAGTAAGAGTGAGCGGCCAGTCTTTGTGTTCCCTGTGGGTTGGGTAGATCCCTGTGTTACGATCTAAACTTCCTGATCTATTATTTTTGCTACTGACATGACTTTACTGAAAGAACCAAAGAGTGTGTGAACAAGAGCCTGTCAGTAGGGGGCGATGATGTTTCATCTCAGTTGTGTAATTTGTCGGTAATGTTGAGAATTTGCTACATTTTGACTCGAGACGCAAGCATGCAATGGCCTACTCGTTTTGAATGACACAATAGTATGTTTTACATCCACTGTTAAGCAGACGGTGCATAATTATTTGAAATAGCTTAACCTGGTGCAGTATATTTCACTGCAGTAATTACATTTTGTTAAAATGGAAAATGTCTGTCAATAATTTAGAATGAACACTGATTTTGTGTACATGCAACATTTTATTTGTAAGGGTCAAACATTGAATAAGTGATGTTAGGACAAAGTTTGTGTTTTTGGAAGTAACCTGTACAGATCACTCAGGTGAGACCCGTTGTTCTTGTGATACAGGTCTAAGGGTAGTATCCACACATGCCCGTTTGCTTTTAAATAAATGTGTGCATCTTTTGATTGAAAGCTTTCGTGACTGCAGTGAACTATTTGTCTTTTGTCAACGTGACAGAATCCTGTGTTGGGATCTTGAGAGATGACGATAGCTGGGGAGGCTTTCATTCAGCCATAGATCAATCACGGCTGACAATGGTCATTCCATTTACGAGACTTTACCCGGTGTAAGAGGCCGGAGTATACCCAAATGCCGTAGTATACCCACAGGCCGTAGTATACCCACAGGTGTAGTATACCCGGGGTCTAAACGGCCTAGGCTAGATTATAGCCGGGAATATTATTGGCTAGGCCAAATGATGCCCCTCTAGACCAAATCATACCCCCGTGATAGTAATGGCGTTAGAGCGATATACACGTGAATTACTAAATTTTTCCAACATTTTATTTTAAACTGTAAACACATCGACTTTGACTGCTTCAACCAGAAAAAAACTTTAATAATAACCCCTGAACCCTAAAAATGCTTCAATTGATCAAATTTAGATTCTTACTTCCACGCGTACGCGTTTTAGATATCGATTGAAGTTCGTTGTCGCCTGTTCTCTGTCTGGATAATTGCCTGTGAACTTTCACATGGGCATAGTCTGGCCAGGAGCGGTATGGTCTGGCCCAGTCGAGTTTAAACCCCCGGGGGGTCTAGTTTAGCCTTGGAGACTTCATCCCCCCCCCCCCCCCCCCGGGTATACTCCAAATATACAGCAGCAGGCGTCGCCATGGTCTGGATCGAACCCACGACCTCCTGCGCACCAGGTGAGGTAGTCAACATCTCATAGCCACCGTGATGAGAGAAACACCGCAAACTCCAAGTATACAGCAGCAGGCATCATCAGGGTCGTGATGGAACTCACGACCTCCTGTACACCCGGCGAGGTAGTTAACATCTCCTAGCCACCGATGATGAGAGAGAGACACGCAAACCGTGGAGGTGTGGGCCCGTCCAGAGGGCGGTCAACGCAGCCCCGCAGTCATCGCCGGTGAGCCGCGCTCCAACCCCCATCCACCACCACCACTTCGCTTCCACACGTACACACACACGTACACACACACGTACACGTACACACACACGTACGTACACACACACACGCGTACACACACGTGCACACACACACGTGCAAACACACGTGCACACACACACGTGCAAACACACGTGCACACACACGTGCACACACACACGTGCAAACACACGTGCACACACACACACGTGTGTACACACACACACGTACACACACGTGCACACACACGCGCGTGTGTACACACACGTACACACACACACGTGTACACACACACGTACGTACACACACGTGTGTACACACACACGTGTGTACACACACACGTACGTACACACACGTGTGTACACACGTACACACACGTGTGTGTACACACACACACGTGCACACACACGTACACACACGCGCGTGCGCGGGGGATTAGGCTCTCTTGGTGGGGTTCAAGTCTGAAAAAATTGCCGTGCGGCATGTCCCAAGCCCCGCGGTGGGAATAGGCTATTCCGTTTTCCCGTCCGTCAACTTTAAATTAGTTTAATTAGCGATTTCATGCCATTCTTATTTTAATCATTTACTTTTTGTTCGAGCTCGACCGTACCAAGTGACGCCAATTGCGTGGACCCTGCCAAGTGATACGCGTTTAACATGCAGGACACACACACATAACGCTGCGGATTTTTCTTCACAGTCTCATGTCCTCTTCACCCCCCCCCCCAACGCAATGCGTCCAGTTTATACTACAGAGTCCCTAGATAATAATACTAGAGTGCTTAGATACCATTATTCTTGCACGGGTGGGGGGATGGGTGTGGGGGTAGTGGCCCAGCCCCCAGCCTGCCAGCGTGCTGCCTCCCCTGCCTCGGCAATGTAGGCCAGGACGAGGGCTCCTCACGGGACTAGGCCTCACCAAGCCTATGTTAAGTACAAATTGCCTTGCTTCTGACGCTAACAACTCAGGTTCATTGTTTACTATTATTAAGCTAATTGGTTGCAACATATTACAATAATTACGTTTGTGTGCACATAAGAACTCTGGTTCATTGTTTACTATTATTAAACTAATTGGTTGCCAGATATTACAATAATAATGTTTGTGTGCAGATAACAACTCAGGTTCATTGTTTACTATTATCAAACATATAAGTTGACAGATTTTACAATCATAATGTTTGCACAAAACATATCTTTAAATCCTTTATATTAAGTTCGCATGCTTGCGTGCTTGCTTGCTTACGACCGTGCAAATCTTTCGGTCGTTTTTTAACCCACTTCCCGTGATCCAATCGAGCTGACATTTTGCACACAGACTCGTTGTGCGTGACAATTAATTTTCGTGAATTTTTTCCAAAATGTTACTTTTTTTAGGAAAAAAAAATTATATGTAATTATCAATTGCTTAATGGTGGCAAGCAATCATCTGACCCATAGGTGGCAGCCATCTCAAGCCAGAGGACGAGAGGACTTTAGCCGCCACGCATATAAAGGATTTATAGTGAAAAACTTTGTTTTTACGGGTTAATTTTTTATTGGTTGGTTGCTAAATATTCCCTTTCTCAGCTGTGCTTTTATGACGCTGCGACCGGTGTTACTGCCAGTCTTTCATGTGGCCTGCTGCCTGCTGATTCATTAACGTCAGTGCACTGCCACTATTATCTACACTGCTAATTTTCCTTGTTACCATTATGAGTTTATGCCAGTCTATAATCTGTTGCCTGCTTCTTTACCTCACTCAGTGTACTGCCAGCCTTTCATGTCGACTGTATTCTGCTTTTTCAGCTGCTGCCCGTATTGCCAGGTTATTATGTCGACTGTAGCAATGCTTATGTCATTGAGTCGGCGTACTGCCAGTCTATCATCTAGACTGTAGCCTGCTTCTCAACTTACCTGTGCGTACTGCTGCTCTTTAATTTACAATTATTTCTGCTTATTTCTTCTATGCATTTCTATTGTTTTGATTGCTCACCTCACGCTATTTACTCATACGTAGTACTGCGATACTGATAGCTGTGCCATCATCAGGGATTACTGTGCACGGCGATGTGTGTGTGAGTCCATGTGTGTGTGTGTGTTTGAGTCCATATGTGTGTGCGTGTAGGGCCTTGCGTGTGTTTAAGTCCGTGTGTGTGTCTGTCTTTTTCGAATGGACAATGCCCGATGTGTGTGTGTGTACGTCAAAGTGTTTGTGTGTGTACGTGTCAGTCCATTTGTGTGCGTATCAGTCGCTGTGTGTGTGTTAGTCCATGTGTGTGTGTTAGTCCATGTGTGTGCTTTATTGACCTGGTTAAGGCCTATGATGCCCTCAGTAGGCCTGGGCTCTGGGTTGTTTTTCATGCTTTCCGAGTCCCTGACCCACTGCTCACGATCCTTAAGGACCTTCATGATGGTGAGCGGCCCCACATCATACTACGTGGCCGTGAGTCAGAGCCATTCCCTCTACACCTTGGGGTGCGACAGGGATGTCCTCTGGCTCCCACATTGTTTTACTTATATTTGGACCGCGCAGTTCGTGAAGCCTTCAATAGCTCTACCGAAAGAATTCCCATCTGGTACAGATACAATGGGAGGCTGATCGATGCCCGTGTGCGGTCAAGGGATGGCTCCCTATTGGTCTAGCATGTTACGTATGCCATTGATCTGCTAATTGATACTCACTCAGAGGAGAAGTTGGACGCGCTGCTGCTGAACCTGGAGCTTGCTACTAAGAGGTGGAGCCTTACCATCAGCCCCACCAAAACTAAGCACCTGCCTGGCTATTTTGTACCATCGGACAATCCACCCCACAACTCTCAATTGCTGATGGGGCAGTTGTGGAGAGAGTTGAGAGTTTCCCATACCTGGCCAGTGTGTTCAAGACCGGTTCCGGTTTCACAGCAGAGGTCTCATTGGCTGTGTTACACTGTGTGGAAGCTACCTGCTCTCTCGCTCCGCACGAAGCTTCAGGTCTTCTCGCCCACGGTCATTCCCTTCTCAATGCTTGCGAAACTTGGACCCCCCTAATGGAACATCTTCGCCGGTTAGAAACATTTAGTCTGGCCTGCCTACGATCCATCCTGGGTTTAACCAGGCTGGATTGTGTGATGAGCTCACAAATCTTTCACAGATCTGGACAAAGTCCCATGGGTGAGCTCCTACGGCAGGCAATGCTGCATTTGCTGGGCCATGTAGCCCACATGCCCAGCCACCGCATGCCTAAACAGCTTTTGTTTGGCCGGATCGAGGGGGCTAAACGGGCGTGGCACAGGCTAGAGAAGAGATGGAATGATGTGCTACATGAGGA